ACTCATCCTACCACTACCAACTAAACTCTGTACTGACTCCTCATGCGCTAGGGTTTGAGGCGAGCAGTACGTTAGCGTGGGCATGTGTCTTGCGGGAATCGGAGGACGAACTGTTGTTTCGATATGAATCGGTGTGGTAAGGTTCTTTATGAGTTGGCACGGAACATGGTCCTCTTGGTGGACAGAACACTAACCGTATGAATACATCATGCATTTAAACGACTGTGGCATATCGGGGATCAATGTGAAGATAGTAGGTAGAGTTAGGAGCCATAGCTAGGTAAGTCCTAGCTAGGCAAGAGAAGTTTAGGCAAAAGAGGAGTTCACTAGCAGCAATGAGGATACATATAGCAAACCCTAGATGGGTTGTACTCGCTATAGAGCACCCCACTACAGGCTAGAGAATAACATTCTGACACACCCCCATAGCCAAAGTGGGGTGTAATCAGTACAATGAGCAAGCAGGTATAGAGCAGGAGTTCACAAAGGTAAGCAAAGCTAGAGCTAATCACAGCGGGCAAGTGAGGAGGAGGAGGAGCTGTGGAGGTAGAGAAGATGGGAGGCAACGACTGAAGCTGCAGAGGCACGGGCACAGGAGCGGCTGACTCAGAGGCTACCGAAGCAAGGGCGACGGACTACTGGAGTAACTGGCTCGACGGCTATAGAAGAGCGGCAGGAGCAACGGACCCACTGGCGACTGGTGCAGCAGGCTCACTGGCTACCGAAGCAAGGGCGACGGACTACAGGCGCTGCAGGCGACACGACAGGTACCTCCACACAACCTCCTCCAACTGCCCCACACCCTCGACACACACCCACTGCTCAAACCCTAGCTCCACTCCCACGCACCCCCCTAAAACCCTAAACCCTAGGCTCCCACACACCCACCCCCCTCAGCGGCAGCTGCAGCAGTGGGAGACCAGGGAGGAGGAGGAGCAAGGGGAGTAACACACAACCGCCACCCCCACACTCCTCACCCCCAAACCCTAATTCAGGAGAACGGGCAGCAGCAGGGGTGGGGCACCGTCAGAAGCACGGGGGACAGCGAACAGCTCAGGGACAGAGAGGAACGGGCCGCCCACGGGCCTGGCACAGCCCGACGAACCGCGCGCAGGCGGCCCGAGCCGCGCGCGGGCCTGGCGCAGCCCGTACGGGCCGCGCGCGGGCCTGGCGCAGCCCGTACGGGCCGCGCGCGGGCCGGGCGCAGCCCGTACGGGCCGCGCTCGGGGCTAGCGCAGCCCGCGCTGGCCAGGACGGGCGACGGGGGACGACGGGCTGGTCCCCGTCGCCCGTCGAAGCGCCCCCCGGGGGCGACGCGCGGACCGACGGGGCAGAAGGCCGCCGCGCGCCTCGGGGCGTACGGCGGGCAGAGAACCGCCGCACGCCCCGGGGCGCACGGCGGGCAGAAAACCGCCGCGCGCCTCGGGGCGCACGGCGGGCAGAAAACCGCCGCACGCTCCGAGCGCGCGGCGGGAAGAGAAATCCTTCGCACGCCACGGGGCGTGCAACACACAGAGTAGCAGCGGAAGCAGTTAGGTGGGCCCACAGGCCAGGAGCGTAGATGCTCTGATACCATGTGAAGATAGTAGGTAGAGTTAGGAGCCATAGCTAGGTAAGTCCTAGCTAGGCAAGAGAAGTTTAGGCAAAAGAGGAGGAGTTCACTAGCAGCAATGAGGATACATATAGCAAACCCTAGATGGGTTGTACTCGCTATAGAGCACCCCACTACAGGCTAGAGAATAACATTCTGACAATCACAACATCAGGGTTTAGCCATAACGGCTACTGATCTCAATATCATCATCTGTCACAACATCCCATATTCAATATCCTCATGAACTCTACACAGGGATGTCGAAGGGGACTGAAAGCATATCTCCTCGCTGGCCGTTGGAGACATGGACGGCGAAGGCGCGTAGGACTGTCTCCGCACCTTCTTCTCTGGTGTGCGCACCAGGCGGTCCACAAGGTCCTGGTTCCCAAGGCGCTTAAGCGTGACAACGTCACGCGGAGCAACTCCCTTCGAGCTGGCAAGCCTGGTGTACGCAGAGGATGCCATACGCATGAACCTGCGGCGTCCCACGAGACCCGGCCGTCACTGGTTGTATCATTTACCAGACGGATGACCGGCTCATGAATGCGTTCGGCAGTAACCTCGTCCACCTCGTCATCCCATGTCGCATATTCCATTGCTGCCAGCACGCAGTCGGGGAGGTCCAACTTGTCCAGCTTCCTCTGCAGGCCCATGAGGCTAGCAACGAGTTGCTCCACAACCTCGACATGCATGTCGCTGTTGATCGCGTGAAGCTGAGACAGCCTCTCGTCCGGGACGCACCCGGTGCGCCAAAACGTTAGCTGTATGTGGGATGTCGCCACTCCCCAAAGCGCTTCGTACGTCCACTGCAATGTCTTCGCGGCCGAAGGAGAGTTACTCCTCCACATCCATGCTGGAGGCACGCGCGTCATGAAGCGCGTCTGGTCGTCCACCCACATCGAACGGAATTCAGACTTAAAGAACGCGACAATGCCCTGCACCACTGGGTTCCCCACGTCCGGAACAGTATCATGAAGCTGCACAATGCGAGTATGGGTTAGGTGGTGCACCATGAACGGCCCATTCGTCTGCAGCTTGCCCTCTCCCCAAGTGAGTCTGTGCCTACGCGAGGACACAAGGACGACGATGTCACGGTCCTTGGCCAATTTCGCAGCGTTGAGTCCAAGCATGAACTGTGTGAACAGCTGCACAGAACAACAAAAAGTACCTCAGGAGACATATATTAGGAACCAACTACAAGAGTCCATATGTCAGAGACATATTTATTTGTCATATACACGGGCATTACCTCGGGGGTTATGCGGCCGGACCGAGTACGGCGGATGTACGCCCACTCGTCGCCATTCACATCGGAGCCCAGTCGCATTGGCTCTCGATCGCGGCTCACGACAATTGGCCTGAAGCGTTGTGCGCCGTCGGCGGAATAGAGCAGGCCGACAGACAGCCTCTTCAGATCTATTACAATGCGCTCGTCGAACGGATGCAGGTATGGCTGCAGCGCAGGGCAGAGAGAAAGTTCTACAAAGATATAGACGTCACTGGGAGGTGCGCCCAGCCGCGTCAATAGACCCTTTAGAGCCGCCATGGCAGTAAAATGACGTCCGAGATGTCGAGCGGCATATGATATACACGTTAGAGTTGGCGGGTACAGCGTCCAATGCCTCTACTATTTGACAAGACGTGAGTCAAGGTTCTGTAAGCATCAGCGCCAGCGCGGCCTTTCGTTTTTGTTAGCTGCCCAGGGTGGATTGGCCACAGAAACACAGGATTGCGCAACGACATGGGTACATCTTATAGGACATACGATCTGTGCGCGGTAATAACCATATGTTCTTGCCCGGAAAGCTCATCTGTTAGTGACTTCTCCGTCCCCTGTATTGGTATCCTCGCGCCTGGGTGCATTCATGAGTATGTCGGTAGACGAGTGTAAACCCAGTATATTGCGCAGACAATCCTTTATAAGAAAACACAAATTGCGAGCACAACAATATACCTAACGTTATTTGGATGCTGGTCACTGTATTGTCACGGTGTTATTCGAGAAGTTATATATACCCGAGTCGTGACGATCGCGTTATTAATACAGCGAGCGGTAGTCTTATATGTAACAACATCGATATTCGCATTTCAATGTATTATTAACGGGACATATGTCGGCCCGTTATGAGCAGCACCATTGACAAACATCAACCTTTCGGAAGGTCGCAGGTTTGCATGCTGACGATGGTACAGTAACCTCGGCTTGTCACAGGCACGTGACAAGTGTCAATTTCACCTGCAGTCAGCTGCCAATGACGAACCGCCATGGTGGAATCCACATTCTAGATCGGCGAGGTGTGCAGGGGTCAACATCAACTCTCGCGGATCCGAGAATTGTTACCCTTTGTGCCTGGTTGAGCCTATAAGGGTTTCTGTCGCCAGATAGCCCGACGGCTAGTCTCTCCCAGCAGTAGGGTTTCGGCCTTTCCCAGCAACTCTGACTGTCCATGGTACCGCGAACCAAAGCGCAGGCCGCTACACGCGGAGGCCTTAGGACGGAAGCCATGCCGACGCGTAGGCAATCTGCAGGAGCGCGGCGGGAAAATACAACGATCCCGGAATCGCTGAGCAACAAGCGGATGCGCTCGCGTGAAGCCCAGTAGGGGAACCCGAATAAGGAGAACGCATCTCCGGCATCTGTTTCCGCATGGGGCTCGCGGCTGCCCGGCGCCAAGGAGGAGCCTGCGCCGAATGACGCGCTGACAGCTCTATTGACCGCACCATCGTCATCGAATTTCAAGACGGTGTCTCTGTATAACCACATGGGCGTGGGCTGTCAGGTGAACGCGCATGACGCCGTGGCGCTCGCCGACAAGAAATGCCTAAACGATGCGGTCGTCGACTTCCACAACATGTACGATTTTTTATGACGGCACTCCTACAGGCTGGCATGCCACGTCACGGTATGCCGATTTTAACTAAGACTAATTAATCGTGCGTTGTTCCTCCGCACCCTTGCAGCCTCCTGAACATCAGGTACCCGAGATGCCCGAACGGGAAATCATGGGTGGTCCTGGACAGCAAGGCGTTTGCGTATGCACAGCTTCACGGCAAGCCGATCGGGAGATGCACGGGCCCATCCGTCTTCGAGTACGACTACATCGCCGTCCCCATTTTTGCCGGGTACGTACGTCTTTCACGCGGCAGTTTAATACGGCCATATGACGGCGCCTAACTATGTATAGTGGATCGTGCAGGAACCACTATTCTTTGATGGTGGTAACCAACCCGAGCGGAATTGTAACCCCGACTGCCGCTCCTGTGGAATTCATTCATTTCGACAGTGAGGGCCTCCACACCAAGATGACAGATGCCTTCGACGGGACTAAAGCGTGGGTTGCGTTAAATACCAGGGTGCAACACGTTCATTGGTACTCTTCTTGCAGCGGAATATGACCGGGTGGCCATGTGCTCTTGCAGGTTACTGCACCTCATGTGCCAACGCGATCATCCGGAGGTGGACCCAGAGGCGGCTAGGCAGGCGCTTATCAAAGCCACAACGTTGACCATGGAGGTGAGTCCCTGGATCGACGTTGGCTCCAGCTGTTCCAACTTGTTGCTATTACAGTACCTTATTCTGATGACTTCGATCTTCGTGACTGATGTGTGCGCAGGGTCACCAGATCCCCAAACAACCTAACAGCTGGGACTGCGGGGTGTACATGTGCCAGTATCTCGAAGCTCTGGTTACATCTGGGTTCGTAACCGTGCGTGAGTACATATCGTTTAAGGGAGTGAGCGCGGAGAGGTACCGCCACAAGATGCGTGCAGACCTTTGTTCTCATGCAGAAGGAACGCTGATACCCGAGCTGCAGTGCCAGGGTCTCCGCATCCCTCTGCAGCCCGTTCCCGTTATCGACGACAACGGGTACATGTGCGTCGACCCACCTGTGGACGTTCGAAGAGAGCTACTCGACCACAAACAGAAGTTCGCTGTGCTGGAGCATGACATACAGGTTCTTACGGCCAAGATCGAGTTTCTGGCCATCAGCAAAGGCGTGACGTCGGACGAGCTGGACGCGGGAGCGCGCCAACACCTCGGTGCCGTGGCCGAGACGATGGTGCCGACGGCGACTCCACGGAAGCAGGCCGCGGACGGAAGTGGCCAGAGGGAGAGCGCGAGGACTCCTCAGCCGCGTGCACTGGCGGCAGTGCCTGCAATCTCTCCCTGCCCTGCACCGCGCACACCTGTCTCGCTGAAAGATGGCCATGTAGCTGCTGGCGTAGCGACACCTGCTGTGGTCCGGCAACAAGAGCGCGGCCAGCTTGCACTGGCCTTGCGCAGCCGTGCCTCGACTCCTGTGCCTGCCGCGGCAGGTAACCCCGGAAGGGCCGCAAGCAGCGATCCAGCTGTGCCTGCGCGCGCTGATCTTGCGCCACAATATCCGGGAGCACCTCCTCCACAGATTGGCGGTAATATTGCGCTTCCACGAGCGCAGCCTGCGCCATCAGCGAAGTCGGGTTGGCCTTAACGGCCCTTTCCGCATCACGTTCCGCGTCCGCGGCCTCTTGCACGACGAGCCCCCATTCCTCTAGCAGCATTGACGTCATGCGCGCGCGTCGCGTCGCGTCGTTGACCGCCTTTTTTGCCGCTGGAATTTGCGGATGCGTTGACGGATCTGCCTGAAACGCCGCGAGATCCGCGATCCGGAGAACGAGGATATTGTTTGCGATGTCGAGATCGTACTGCGCATCGGCGACGCTGTTATTCATATCGGAGATTATTGAAATGCGGTCGTTGAGAGCTAGGTCCAGGCCCTGCAGATCGGACAGAGTTTGCGTGGCGGCGGCAACCTCAGCCGCCTGTTTGGCGGCGTCCGCTTGCGCCGCTTTCAGGTCCACCGCAGCTTGATTCGCCGAGGCGCGAAGAGCCTTGGCTTTTGCTACGAGGAAAGCGTTTTGTGCGCAGACAGATGCCCCAGGGGGAGCGAGAAGCGCGGCGAAGCACGCTAGGAGTGCGGCAGAGAGAGCAGCACGCGCAATCGATGTCATGGCGGAGTTATAGATAATGCAACAGGTCCTGTTAGAGATACCGTAACCAGTAAATCGCAGCAGCTTGCTTGTTTACAGAACTTCTTGACAAACTTGTGAGAGATGCAAATTCGGCGTCGCGGGCACTTAGGATAGTGTATGAGATGCTGTATACCGTTTGGCAGCGGAAGAAAGAAAAGCACGCGGCCCTCCAACTAATCTCCAATGGAGAAGAAAATGCACTCGAGAGAGATTTGTTAGGAGGTGAGTTCAGCTGGCGAAAGAACGAGTGATAAATGATAGTACACAAGAACACGTTTATAGGTCGCGACGACTCCAGAGACGAGTAGTAGGTAGGGTGGAGATTGAACGGAACCAGCAAAGCCTACACCATTCGAGCCTGCGCATGATTTGTCGATATGTTCGCCGCATGCTGCGCTGTGCTCACCAGCTTGGAGTGACGATTATGAATGTTACTGGCTTATCAACGAATAACTTCATTGCGATTGGACCTCTTTAGCGTCTTCCACCAAGAAAACAGACATATATGACACTTGGTCATTTTTAAGGGACTACTACCAGATTTGACCGACAATTTCCGAATCTGGACTAAGTCAAGGCGGCAGAGAGCTGTGAGACAGACAGTCACAGCTTTGTTACAGCTGCTACTTTGACGAGAGATGATCAAGAAGTTGACGATTCTTTTCTCGTGTGGTGGCAGGAAGTCATACACACAAGCCAGTCAGGCCTCATGCTTCGCGAATTTCGGTACCATTGCCCTCCCCTCAAGCATCTCCCTCCCCACTCCCTCATACATCGTTCCACGATAAGTACAGTGTTGCCCGAAATCGTTGATTCCATGTTACCACATTCCGAGAACTCCTCTAACCCCATATAAATTGTTCGGATTGAAGGAGCGTTATGAGTTGTACGAATGAAGAGTGCGCAGTATTCAATAACGCGAAAGTGATTACAACTACTGAGCAAACAACGAGGCCTAGGCAATATATAGCAAAGCTAGCTAGGCCGAGGTCACTGAGTCGCACGAAGGTTGGGTGCAGGTTTGGGGTTGGGAAACCCGAAGGCGACGCGGAGGACGTTCGGAAGGCGAGGTCGACGGACCGAGCCTGAATTCCGAAAAAGTTGGAATTGTACGCGTAAGAGATGCCTCAGTAAGGAATTAGCGAAATTCCTTACAAGGAGCCTTACCAGCTAAAGAATGAAGTTGCAAATTGTAAGGAATTTTCTCGACATTCTTTAGCGCATCCTGCAACATCGCGTACGGCAGCAGCCGTTGTTCGCCCGTTACTGCTAACGGGGCTTCGCCAACTTCGCGCGCACTGTTTCACCAAACCATGCACCGCTGGCCCGGCCGTATCGGCCTACGCTTCGGGACTAGCCCGAGCCTCGTTGTCAGCCTAACACTAGCTAGCTTGCACGCACCGCGTTACCGTTTGCATGTTTCGCGTATAAATGTTCGCTCATGCTTCGCTCACCATTTGTACTCGGTTGACACTTAGGGTACATTCCTGTGGAGACACTTGTGTCTGAAACACTTTGTGACTCGCAAAGAATGCATATAACGTACTGTGTCACAAACGCAGACCGCAGTAATGCGATCCTCACTGTATTTTACATTGGTTGGCGTGAATTGCGCGGGTGTCGCGGACGAGTTACACGAGGCCCCGTCACCTCCTAAAAATCGCACGCGTGTCGAAATGTCACACTGTACAGCATGCACCTGGACGCCCGAAATGGGCAAATTTCGGGCGGGAAAGGAAACCGCTCTGAGTGGTGAATGTAACCACACGGTCACGTCCCTGCCCTGCTGCGCAAGCCGTTCCAACCAGGGTGACAGCTCCCTCCCGTTCCAATCTATTCTTGTACTCCAAACCCCATCTCTCTACTTCGTGTTTCTTGCATTTTCTTCTACGCCGTAGCCATGGCTCGTAAGCGCAAGAGCGTAGCTAGTAGTGCCGAGCTGTGCTCGCGAGATCTCAACGAGATCCCGTACATCGCTTGGATGAACAAGCAGATTGCTGCCGGCCGTAAGTCCGCCGGCCCTTTGCCCGATGGTGCACCGGGTGCGGGGGACACTTCGTTCGAAGCCCCGCGCGATGTCCCTACCCGTGGGCGCCGTGATGCCGACCGGGTTGCATCATCCCGCGTCGTTGACGACGACCCCTTCGATGACGACGCCGAGGACTCCGACTACAACGACTGCGACGACGATGCAAACTCTGGCGAAGAGGAAGACAAGGGCATGTCCCCCTCCGGAGATGAAGACGACGCCGAGGAGGACGCCGACGACGACGAGGAGGCGCCCGAGGAGGCCCAGCCTGCTACCCCGTCTCCCCGTCGCTCCCGTGCTACTGCCGCGGCCGGAACCAAGACTGCCGCGAAGGGCGGGGAACCTCCGCGTGCTGCTGCCAAGAACCGCAACCTGCACCCTGTCAAGCGGAGCGTGTGGTCCCACCGCGAGAGCACGATCTTTGTGGCGGCATGTTGGTTCATGAAGGACGAGCTCGGGAAGCTCCTCGGGAAGCAGGGATCCCAGTACTGGGCCCGCCTCGCGCGCCATCTCGAGCAGGAGAATCCCGGGTGGGTGCGTGGCGTGAATGCGCTGCAGAAGCAGTGGCGCAACCTCGTCAGCATGTACAAGCAGATTAGTAAGGGGGAGCGGGCGAGCGGCAAGGGGGCGGTGTGCAAGCCCCCTTGGTACCCGTACATGGAGCTCTACCAGAACAACAAGGCGGTCGGCAACCCGCACGCCGTCGACGGTGGTGGCGCGGCACACGTCAACGTGCCGTGCGGGTTCGCGGTCCCGTCCACATCTGCAACTTGCACCTCGACCCCGACATTCACGGGTGAGATTGCGTTGTTCGACGGGTGTTTTGTTTGTGGTTGTGCATATCGGACATATTGTTTTTACAATGGGATCTTTCCGTTAACACGATTGTTCGCACCACACAGCTTGTAATGATTACAATGCATCTCGCATGTGCAGCTCCACCTCCGCAGGGTACGCCCACCTCCAAGCGCCCACGGGTGGCAGAGACGGCAACGATGGCCGCCGCCAAGCTGGTGTGTGAGACAATCAAGGGGTGCCACTCTGACGCGATGAACAGGCTCGAAGGCCTCGTCTGCGCATGGATGGAGCAGGACGCGCGGATTGCCCGCGAACGCGTGCAGCAGCAGGCCCCATACCCGCCTGCCAGCGACGGCTTCCCCGGGCACGCGGACAACATGCCCGCAACTCCGTTGTGGGCAGGCGGGCGACAGCGCCTCTAACCCTGATGCGGGCGAGGAGGTGTGGGTTCGCGGCGCCGCCGAGTGAGGTAAGACGACTCCAGAGCCTCGCCCAGCCGCTTGCGCCTTTCTCGCAGATTCGCCTTCGTGTTCGGGTTGCATGGCTCCCACTTGAAATCAGCGACTGCGCCACGCGTCCACCACGGGTCCCGGTTTCGGGGCAAGTTTGCCCACGAAGCATTGACTCGCCTAATGGCCCCCATTGTCTCACACATATTGTGCAGGATGACGCCACAAGACGCCCCTGCAAGAATGCGCCAGAGCTTGCAATCATTGCGGCCCGCGAAAAGATGCCACCGGCCTTTGAAGGCGCCGATGCAGCGCTCTACTGCCATGCGTGTTGCGCTCTGGCAGTAGTTAAAGCACTGCTCCCAGTCATCCATTAGGCCTTCACGGGGTGCATGTAGGGGGGTCAGACAGAAATCCCTGAGTGGGTAGGCTGCATCTCCCACTATTTGGTATGGCGCTATGTCGCCGTTGTGCAACCTTTCGTGTAACGCGCTGTTCATGAACACCCTCTGATTGTGTGCACTGCCCGGATATCCGATCAAATAGTCCCAAATAATTCCGCGCGCGTCGCATGTGAGCTGCAGCTGGACGGCGTAGCATGACTTGCGCGTGTATTACTCCTGCCTGTGCCCCTCCATCCCCTTCATGTGCACGTGTGTGCCGTCTATAGCCCCCACTACTGCAGGAACTCCTTTGATGGCGCCGAACTCCTCAGCCATCTCGTCGAGGTCGTCACGGGTCGGGAAGTGGACCCACTGCTGCTTGAAGACGGAGGGGAAGTGCATGAGCAGAGCGTCAACAAGCATGTGGCACAGGGTCTTGGAGAGGCCGAAGACGAGAGACAAGTCCACGAACGACATGCCGGTGGCCAGGTATTTGATAGCGACCAGGCATGCCACCTCGTGGCTAATGAGATATCTCTCCACGTACGGCTGCATGTAGATCGCCATCCCGACTACAATGTAATCTAGGATGGCGCGGTTAATGCCGAACAAGTTTCTGAATTCGTCCTTCCCCATGCCTTCCAGGTCCTCTAGCAGCACGTGGTACCTCCTCCGGCGAAGCCCTGACCTTCTCTTCCGCTCGGCTGTTCGGTTGGAGCCGTGTGAGCTAGAGGCTGAGGACCCATCTTCCGTGAAGACGTTCGCCTCCAACAAACCTCCGACCGACTTGGCGACGGCGTCGAGGAAGATGCTATAGTAGAACGTCACCCATGCGACCAGAAGTCGCATGAGGAATGGCACCTCGCGAGGCTGTGCCATGGTTGCTAGAAGGAGTGGTGCATTTGGGTCTTTGATGCGTGTGTTTTTGTACTTGCTAGAGTAGTTGAGTACATGCCTATTGTCAAAATGAGAGAAGTGATTGCACTAGGAAAAGGTTGGGTACAAGTAGGAAACCCTAAACTTACTGTACCCCATAGTAACTACCCCACTACAGCCTAAACAAACTGTAGCACATATTACATTTGACACACCCCCATAGGCAAAGTGGGGGAGAGCAAGGGGTCACAAGACTAGTCAAGAAAGGCAAAGCAAGCTCAGGGTGGATCACAACGTCACCACACTCACTGAGCACAAGCAAAGGGCCACAAGGCCAGTTCACATGCAGAGGCATATATGTAACACAAACATCACACTGATCTCTACCTAGCAAAGCAAGCATGCAGGTATATATATATAGATCACAGTACAAGCAAAGCCTACAGCAAGTGAGGAAAAGTGGGCACAAGCCCTAGCATAGTGCAGAAATGCTGATGATCACCAGACTGAAGTGCCTTGGTGAATATATCAGCAGTGTTGGCCCGAGTGGCCACGTAACGCAAACGAAGCTGACCACGCTGCTGCAACTCTCGAGCCAGGAAGTAACGCAGAGCAATGTGCTTCGTTCTGTGCTCCAGTCTGTGCTCCTCACACAAGGCAATGGCTGCCTTGTTGTCGACGTACAGCACTGGAGGAGAACGAGGCCGCTCTCCCAAGTCAGTCAGCAGGTAGGTGAGCCAGCGTAACTCCTGTGCAGCCATGGCTGTGGCGTAGATCTCAGCCTCACAACTGGAGCTGAGAACTGAAGACAAACGTGTAGAACGCCAAGAAACTGAACCAGAGCCAAGGCTGAAGGTGTAACCCTGTGACGACCGCTGAGTAGTCTGGTCGTCAACCCACGAAGCGTCTGAGTGCCCAGTGAGAACAACTGAGCTCCTCCCTCCAAGCACGAGCCGAATGCCTGATGTACTGCACAAGTAGCGTAGTACCCTCTTAGCAGCATCCATGTGCACCTTTTGGTGCCAACCAGGAGCCACGTAGCGAGCCAGAAGGCCAAGAGGGTACGCAAGGTCAGGACGAGTGCAAGTCATCAGGTACATGAGGCAGCCAACTAGCTCTGGGTAAGGACCACTCGGCTCTACGGACTCGTCCGAAGGTGGAGCTGAGAGCGAGTGACCTGTAGCCAGAGGAGTCGGCTGTGCTGAGGACCAGGTGAAGCCGAAGCGCTGAAGGACCTACTGCACCATGTGTGACTGAGTCAGTGTGATGGTGCGGCGTGCTGTGTCCCGAGTGATCTGCAAGCCAAGGTAGCTGCGCAGTTCACCCAGGTCTGTGCACGTGTGTCTCTTCTGCAGCTCCGACTTCACCAGGGCGAGAGCCTCAGTGTCAGCAGTGGCAAAGACCAAGTCGTCGACGTACACGAGGATGTAGAACGGCGGCAGCAAAGTGTCGGTGCGCAGAAACAGCGACGGGTCAGCAGTAGAAGGCGCGAACCCAAGAGCCGCAAGTGTAGTCCTCAGTGTGTCGTGCCACTCACGTGGCGCCTGGCGGAGACCGTAGACCGGCCGCCGGAGGCTCCACTAAGTACCAGGAGGAAACGACCCAGTGAAGCCAGGAGGGCGGCGCAGCCAGATCTCCTCGTGCAGGCTGCCCTGCAAGAAAGCTGTGCTGAAGTCAAGAGAGTGAAGCTCGTAGTCACGCTGAGTGGCAACGTGCAGTAGCACCCGAAGAGTGGTCATCTTCGGGGTGGGGGAGAAGGTCTGGAAGAAGTCTACTCCCTCTCGCTGATTGAAGCCTCGAGCAACGTAACGAGCCTTGAAGACAGGCGGAGAACCTGGCGGCCGCTTCACCCTGAAAATCCACATGCCACTGACGATGTTTGCCCCAGGAGGGGGAACCTCGTCGACGTAAGTGCCAGTGGACTTCCAGGACGCCATCTCTGCGTCCATGGCTGACTGCCACCGAGAGGAGTGCTCACCCGCGATCGCCTCAGCGTAAGAGCGCGGGGTCGGGATGTCTGGTGCATCCGGGTCTCCCTCAGGTGCAATCAGCATGGACACGAGATGAGGTACAGCAGCGGCAAAGCACTCAAACTCCTCTTGCCTGTCCTCAAGGACGTCCGTGCCTAGAGCACACTCACCCCCGACGGACGGAGGACAGACAGACTCAGACTCAGCAACAAGACTAGCAGCGTAGTCGAGACGACAGTGAGCAGCAAAGTCGACAAGCTCAGCAACTAAGGCAGACGCAGCAGCTGACTCAAAGGAAGGGTCAGTGACAGCAGTGGCCAGGAGACGCGTGACAGTAGGACTAGCAGCACGAAGAGAGTCAGACTCCGGGTCAGCAAGAGCAGGAAGGGAGGACGCAGGAGGAGAAGGCAGAGGGACACGCTGTGGAGCAGTGGAAGGACGAAGCGTCATCTGGTGAGTGCCTGGGACAGCAGGAGGACGCTGACACGGGACACGACAACCAGTGCGAGCAGCACGAACAGGTGACGCAGAACGAGACTCAGGCGACACAGGACGAGATTCAGGCTCACGACGCTCTGTAAGACCTCCTGTCGGACCAGTGTAGGGAGAAGGACCAGGCAGTGACGAGGCAGGGTGTAACTGTGACTGCGACTGGACCGGCGGAGGAGACTCTAAGGAGGGAGCAGGACAAGGAGGAGGCGGCTGACCAAGAACATGCTGAAGGAGTGGAACGAAGTACGGCCGAGGCCATGAAGCGCCCCCAGAACCAGCAGAGACAGCACCAGAACCCCCAGCAGCAGCTCCAACTCCTGTAGCACCACCAGCAGCTCCAGTAGTGCCAACTCCAGTACCCCCAGTAGCACCAGCTCCAGCCGCACCGTCGGCTCCAGCACCTGCAGGAGGACGAGCGTCAGCACCTCCAGCTCCAGCGCCTGCAGCACCAACCCCAGGGTCAGCAGCTACACCGACTCCAGTAGGCCCAGCGGCCTCAGCTCCACCGGTAGCTCCAGCAGCTCCAACACCTCCAGCTCCAACTCCAGCACCAGCAGTACCTCCAGCAGCTCCAGCACCAGCAGTACCTCCAGCAGCTCCAGCACCAGTAGCGCCAGCTCCAGCTCCAGTAGAACCCCCGGTCCCAGCAGCTCCAGTACCGCCTGTGTTACGATAAGAATGAATTGATAGAAAATGAGAAGTACAACCCTAGATATAGCAAACCCTAATCATGCAAGGAAGTAGAAAAGTAACACCTAGACTAACCTAAACAACACATATAAAATATATGTTGACACACCCCCATAGTCTAGGTGACGGTAACCCCGTGGAAAGACAACACATATCTCAGGGTGGGTCTCAAGGACACACAGAGTCTGAGAGCAAACAAGGGTCACATGACCAGTCAGCAAGAACAAGAACAAGCAAGGGTCACAAGACCAGTCCACAAGAACAAGACAAATCTCAGGGTGGAGCTCAAAGTCACCACACAGTCCGAGAGCAAGCAAAAGAGCCACAAGGCCAGTTCACATGCAGGTATATAGCAAATATATTGAGATGCAAGAATACAAGACAATAAGGACAAAGCATCTACGTAAGCAAGTGAGGACGGGCCCGCACAAGGCCAAGCTGGGTGCAGAAACGCTGGTGATCACAAGGCGGCAACGCCTTGGTGAAGATATCTGCAGTGTTGGCCTCAGAGACCACACGTCGTACGAGTGCCTGACCACGCTGCTGCAACTCACGCAGAAGGAAATAACGAAGCTGGAAGTGCTTCGCCTTCCCAACCAGTCGGGGCTCCTCACACAACAGGACGACAGACCTGTTGTCGGCGAAAAGACTGGGGGAGAGCGAGGCCGCTCACCAAGGTCGGTGAGAAGGAAAGACAGCCAGCGAAGCTCCTGAGCGGCCATGGCCGCAGCGTACACCTCTGCCTCACAGCTGGAACCGGCGACGGACGACGCCCGAGTCAACCGCCACGAAACAGCACCTGCCCCGAGGCTAAAGGAGTACCTCTGTGTAGACCGACGCGTCTCCGCGTCGTCGGCCCACGACGAGTCCGAGTAACCTGTAAGTGTAACTGGCTGCTTCCCTCCAAGGACAAGTCCCATGCCTGATGTACTTGCCACATACTTCGCCACCCTCTTAGCAGCGTACCAGAGGGACGGTCGGTGTCTCCCAGGCGCAACAAAGCGCGCAAGTACGCTAAGAGGGTAAGCTAGGTCTGGGCGAGTACAGGTCATCAGGTACATGAGACAACCCACCAGCTCAGGATATGGACCACTGGACTCAAATGACTCGTCCAAAGGTGGAGCCGTGAGCCCATGATCCACACCAAGAGGGGTGAGCTGTACCTTGGAGAACGGGAAGCGAAACCGTGTGAGGATCTGCTCGACCATATGCGACTGAGTCAGCGTAATGGTGCGAGCTGCCCTGTCCCTGGTGATCTGCAGGCCAAGGTAGTGCTGCAGCTCACCAAGGTCAGTACAAGTGTGTCTCCTCTGCAGTTCCTCCTTCACGGAGGCCAGCGCACGTCGGTCGGGAGTGGCAAACACCAGGTCGTCGACGTAGACCAGGACAAAGAACGGGGTCGAGCCACGACGAACGAACAGCGACGGGTCAGCAGACGACGGAAAGAAGTCAAGCGCTGCAAGGGTCGAGCGAAGTGTGTCGTGCCACTCACATGGAGCCTGACGCAGGCCGTAGACTGGTCGACGCAGCTGCCACTGGGTCCCAGGTGGGAAAGAGCCAGTGAAGCCAGGCGGGCGACGCAGCCAGATCTGCTCGTGCAGGCTCCCCTGAAGGAACGCACTGGAGAAGTCCAAGGAGTGCAACTCGTAGTCGCGCTGGGCTGCAATATGCAGCAACACCCGAAGAGTACTCATCTTCGGGGTGGGAGCGAAGGTCTGGAAGAAGTCCACCCCCTCTCGCTGACTGAAGCCTCTCGCCACATAGCGCGCCTTGAACACAGGTGGTGATCCAGGCGGCCGCTTCACCTTGTAGAGCCATCGGCCACTGACGACGTTCGTCCCAGGTGGTGGG